CCCCTATACAGAATTTTATTGTTGTTAACAACCATTTGATCAATAAATATGAGAGATGCCCTCTCAAAAAAAAAAAAAACCACAATGAGATATCACCTCACACCAGTTAGGATGGCCATTATCAAAAAGACTAAGAACAACAAATGCTGGCAAGGATGCAGAGAAAGGGGAACCCTCCTACACTAGTAGTGGGAATGTAAACTAGTTCAACCATTGTGGAAAGCAATATGTGGGTTCCTCAAAAAACTAAAAATAGAAATACCATTTGACCCAGACATTCCACTCCTAGGAATTACCCAAAGAATATAATTTCTCAGATTCAAAAACACATATGCGCCCCTATGTTTACTGCAGCACTATAGCCAAGATATAGACGCAACCTAAGTGTCCATCAGCAGATGAATGGATAAAGATGATGTGATACATATACACAATGGAATACTATTCAGCCATAAGAAAGAAACAGATTCTGCAATTTGCAACAACATGGATGGAGCTGGAGGATATTATGCTCAGTGAAATAAGCCAAGCGGAGAAAGACAAGTGCCAAATGATTTCCCTTATTTGTGGAGTATAAGAAAGAAGCAAAACTGAAGGAACAAAACAGCAGCAGACTCACAGACTCCAAGAAGGGACTAGCGGTTACCAAAGGAGAGGGGTGGCGCAGGGTTGGTGGTGTAGGAGGGGGAAGGGGATTGAGGAGTATTATGATTGGCACACATGGTGTCGGGGTGGATCATGGGGAAGACAGTGTGGCACAGAGAAGGCAAATAGTGACTCTGTGGCATTCTACTATACTGATGGCAGTGACTGCAATGGGGTATAGGGGCAACACAATAATATAGGTGAATGTAGTAACCACACTGTTTTTTCATGTGAAACCGTCATGAGTGTATATCAATAATACCTTTATAAAAAAATAAAATAAAGTCTAACAGCAAAATAATAAAATAAAATAAAATAAAATAAAATAATAAAATTAATATAATATAATAAAATAATAAAATAAAATAAAATAGAAAACAATTCTAAGGAATAGTTTAAGAAGCTAAGGGAGATATACATGTTAAAAAAGCATGTCTTGTGGGGAAGGCAGTATATACAGAGAAGACAAGCAATGATTCTATAGCTTCTTACTACGCTGATGGACAGTGACTGTAATGGGGTGTGGGGGGGGGACTTGATAATAGGGGGAGTCTAGTAACCATAACATTGTTCAAGTAATTGTACATTAATGATATCAAAATAATAAAAAAAAAGCGCTCTGTGAATGTAGGAAAAAAACAAAAAAAAAGCATGTCTTGGTTGCAGCATGTCAAAGAAGTGAATTAAATGATAGCATTTGAATATTCAAACTCTTGAAGTAGTAAATTAATGTTAATGAAAAAATAACCAAATCCATTGAAAGAATGAAAGAAAACAAAAATAAACAAGTTACAGATTTGACTAAAGCAGTCGGGATATAAGAAGCAAATTTAAAATTTTAGTATTTTGAATAGGAGATATATTCATATGGTTCAAATTTCAAAATAAAACAGAAAACTTTTACAATTTTAAAGTCCAACATATACCCAAAAGATCTGAAAGCAGGTTCTCAAAGACAGATTTATCTGTACAACCACATTTATAGCAGCATTATTCACAATAGTGAAATGGTAGAAACAATCCAATTGTCCATCAATAGATGAATAAACATCATGTGCATATGCATACAATAAAATATTATTCAATCTCAAAAAGGATGGAAACCTCGACACATCCTACAACATAGATGATGGACAGTGCAATGTTCAGAACATTATGCTAAGTTTATGAAATAAGCCAATCACAAAAAGACAAACATATGATTCCACATATGCATGGTATTTAGATGCAAGTGAAATTCACAGAGACACAATGTAAAAACCAGTGATTGCCAGCTAGCAGGAGGAGTGAATGGAGAGTTGTTTAATGAATAGAGCTTTGCAAGATGAAAAGAGTTCGGGAAACAGCTTGCACAACAATGTGAATATACTTAACACTAGTAAATTGCGCACTTAAAAATTGTTAAGTTCATAATTTGATATTATTTGCATCTTACTGCTATTAAAAACAAAACAAAACATAAACAACACTCCTTCCTACTGATATCTAGCCACTGCCCAGTTCCCACATGCCCAACCCTCTAAAAGCACTTCTATTACTTTACCACAGGTTTCCTTATGCAAATATAAACAAACTGTAAAGAACAATATACACTGTTTTGTATCTTGCTATTTTCATTAAACAATGTATCTTCGAATGCGTTCAGTTCAAACATGGAAAGTTTCATCATTTAAGAGCAACATTTTTACAATTTTATAGCAAAGGTTTAATGTAAGAGAACTTACCAATAACTGGTGGACACTGCCCATTATAAGGGAACCAATTTCCTTTCACAGTAAAAGGACTTTTCCTGTTGCTTGTTGAACCAGTTCCTAGCTGCCCATTACCACCAAGTCCAAAAGAATAAATTCGTCCTGATGAAGGAACAAAAGCAGAAGTGTGCTGCCTGGAGTAAAATGATAGAAAACCTTAGACTTAATGTTATCTTCCAAATAATTTACATTTAAAAAAGCACAGCAAATATTAACCAATATAATTTTTCTCTTCAAAAATAAATTAATAAAACGATTATGGCTCTAAAGTGTTCTATACAAAGTATTTTTTAAAAACCTTACACTAAAATGAATAATTTTATTACACCTCAGGCTGCATGAACATGGTCTAGAAAGTTTCCACAAATGTCTAAATTTAAAAAGGTCCAGATTTTTACTGGAATCCCTTATAGCCGATGAATTTAGAACTAGAAGTAACATCTAACTATGCTATCCAAGGAAGTTCCCTTCTTCCCTTCCCTGTCAGGTCCTAGCCTAGAGCTATGGTCTATGAGGGTCCACCATTTGGGCACCACTCAGAAGTTTTAAGAACTAGGCAAGTAGTCCAGTACCAATCAGAAGATTGATTGATGTGTGTGTGTGTGTGTGTGTGTGTGTGTGTGTTATATATACATATAATTGGTATATAAATAGATGTTATTATGTGTGATTATGTGCAGTGTGTTTATATATATATACACACACATGAATACAACATAAACTAATGTTTCCTTCCTTCTAGAGAAACTGATCCATATATGCACACCCATGAACTCCAGAGTAGAAGCAACCTAATAGGAAACTACAGAACTGAAGCTGAAGAAAAACAACTAACCAGTTAACCTATCCAACTCCCCCTGATGTATCGTTACCTAACATTTAACCCCTAATGAGTTAAAGATGCTTATTTTGCTCAGGCCTTGTGTTCTCAATCTCAGGTTTTATGGTTTCAGTCAAGTTTGGCAGATTCTTAAGTGTTACTTCTGTAAATATTGTCTCCCATTTAGTCAATTCTCTTCTCCTTAACAGTACAAATGTTGAACTTTTCCAATATATCCTATCAGTCTCTTAACCTCTCTTTTATATCCATGCCTCTTGTGATTAATTTCCCTGGATCTCATTTTCAAATCATTACTTTTTTTCTTTACCAGTGTGTCCAACCCGTTCTAACTATTCCACTAAATTTTAAATTTTAGTGACTATGTTATATCCCATTTCTAGAAACTCCTTTTTTCAAATACACCAGCCTATTATTTCATTTAAAAACCCTTTATAAATTGTGAAATACATATACACTAACCCAGGACTACTTTGACAAGCCCCAAACCTGCCTTAGAATAAATAGCTCCTTGATCACAAATTCTCAGGAGAGTCAAGCCAGAAATTAGGCCAAGGAGAGAAGAGTGCCCTTATGCTATCAAGGGAATAATATTTCATTGTGAACTTTTTTCCCACAGTGATTTTATTTGGAAGAGATGGTTTTTCAGGCCTCAGTATGCTTCTCTCAGTTCTTAGGTCTTGACTCCTGTCCCAAACCCCTATGCCATGTGCAATATATTGTTTACAAAAAAACCATTTTTTATAAACAAAATTATAGGCCACAATTATTCCTCTCCCTATACCCATATTCTTACAATATGACTCTTGCAGCTGTTCCCACCAAGACAGGGAATCTATTTCTCTGTATCTTAAATGTGGGCTCTGACCTGTGGCTTGCTTTGAACAGAATGCAGCAGGAATGATAGTGTATCAGATCTGAGCTTATATCTCACAAGTGGCTTTACACCCTTGCCCCCATCTCTTTAGGAACCCTGCTCTGGCATCATTAGTATAATCTAGGATTAGCAGTTGAAGGATGAATATAAAATCTGAAGCAGAGACAAGCAGTCCCAGCTAAGGCCACCCTAGACTAACCAGCCTCTAGCCAGATCTTCAGCTCATCAACATGAATTCAGCTAAGATGAGACCTGCCCAACTAAGCTCAGCCTAAATTACCAAACTACATAATTATTAGCTAAATAAAAACTGTTATAAGCCACTAAGTCCTGGGGTAGTTTGCTCAGCAATATACTCTAATTAATATATTGCCTACATTGGCATATTCTTTCAGGATTGCTCCTAAGTCAGTTTAAACTAACAGCTATGGCTTTCAGATTTCTTTTTGTTCTACTTTTTACCTCTTGGCAAACTAATTTATGCTATTTAAAAGATGTTTTGACTCAAAAGCGTTTTCAAGTTACCTAGTCTCTTGTATTTCTGGAAAACTAAGATGCCAACCATCTTACCTCAGAATCAGATGAGACAAGGTCAAAATATTTTAACCAAAAGATATTTTTTTAACAAAGGAAAAGTTAAATGGAATCCTAAAACAGACAAACTGCTCTGGTTGAAGAAGGGTTTAATACTGCCTAGTCTGACTCCTTCAGGAAACAGCCATTCTGACATCTCAAAGGAACATTATCAATAGTTTGAAAATAACTGTAATACTAGTTTGTTAAAATCCAGATACCTACCAATATTCCTTCTGTACCTAAGTACTTACGTCTCAATCAATATCTAAAAAATTTCTCCTCAACCCAATAGTTAAATAAAACTTCTGGAAAGCATTGAGTTTACAAGGCTAAGAATAACATGTTAAATCATGCACATTTTCACCTGTTAAGAATTTCAAAATTGGTACCATTAAACAACCTGTGATATTTCACAAGGGACTGGTGAAATATTTCACCTGAAAAAAACGATGTAAAAATATTGCTTTATAGTCTTCAATGAATTATGCATGAAGTGGATAAACAAGAAAAGATGAACTTTAACCTTTAGGGAATACATATTCATGTATAACAAAAGCCAGGCAAGGACACTACAAGAGAACAAAACTACAGACCATTTATCCCAAAATTCTGATAAAAAGAATTCTTAATAGGACTCTAGCAAACAGAATTCAAAGCACAGTAAAAGGACTATTTATTTCTGTAATGCAAGGATGATTCAACACATGCAAATCAATCAATGCAATATACATTAACAGAAAGAAGGACAGAAACCCACATGATCACCTCAACAGATGCAGAAAGAAAAGACAAAATTCAACACCCTTTCATGATAAAAACACTCAAAAACTAAGAATAGAGGTAAACTATTTCAACAAAAGGAAAGTTACATATGAAAAACCCACAGTGAACATCATACTAAATGGTAGAAGACAGAAAGCTTTTCCTCTAAGATCAAGAACAAGGCAAGGTTTCCTACTCTGACCAATTCTGTTAAACATAGTACTGGAAGTTCTAGACAGACAAATTAGGCAAGAAAAAGAAATAAACACAGGGAAGACTGTGTAGCTCAGAGAAGACAAAAAGGGACTCTGGCATCTTACTACACTGATGGACAGTGACTGCAATGGGGTATAGGGGGCAGAACTCAATAATAAGGGTGAATGTAATAACCACATTGTTTTTCCTGTGAAACCTTCATAAGAGTGTATATCAATGATACCTTAATTAAATGAAAAAAAGAAATAAAGAGCATCTAAATTGGAAAGGAAAAAGTAAAATTATCTCTGTATACAGTTGATATGCTCTTATATGTAGAAAGCACTAAAAATTTCACAAAAAAAACTATTAGCACTAATAAAAAAAGTTCACCAAAGCAGCAGGATACAAAATTAACACGCAAAAATCAGTTATATTTATATACACTAATAATGAACAATCCAAAGAGACACTAAGAAAACAATGCCATTTACAACAGTATCAAAGATAATAAAATATTTAAGAATTAGCTTAAACAAAAAGATAGAAGACATACAATGAAAACTACAAAACATTATTTAAAGAAATGAAAGGCATAAATAAATGGAAAGACATCCCCATACTCAAGGATTAGAAGACTTAATATTGCTAAAATGTCAATACTTCCCAGTATCTACAGATTCAACGCAATCCCTAGCAAATTATGGAAATGCAAATAAAAACCATGATTAAATAACACTATTATCCAAGAGATTAGCAAATATTTTAAAGTGTGACAATACCAAGTGGTAACAAGGTCACAGTGTATCAGTAATTCTCATACAATGCAAATGGCAATGAAAAGAAAATATATATATACATACACACACACTATATATATATATATGTGTAACTTTTCTGATAAGTAAGGTGACATTAACCTGCAAAATTCAAGTTAACTATCTGTAATGACCCAACAATCCCATTCTAGGTATATATACCTTAGATACATGAAGATTTATGTATGTCATATAATAACTGTTCAAAGCAACATTATTTATAACTGCCAAAAACTGAAAGTACCCAAATTTCCATCAGTAGTAGGATGAGTAATTATATATCCACATAACTGAATAAAATACAGCAATAAAATACAAAAATTACCTAATGATGGAGAACCACAGCTACACAAATATGGATAATCATACAAGCATGATGTAACCAAAAAAAAGTCACCAAAGGCTACCTGCAGTCTGATTCCATGTACTTGAAGTTAACAACTGGCAAAACTATAATATATAAGGATACATAGTAAGTGGAAAAAAATTAAGCTAAGTGTCAGAACTGAGGTAAGGTGGGCAAAGTATATTTTGCTTCTTGGGAATCTACCTAATTTGATCCACCAAAGGGGAAGCTCAATTTCAAAGCTGATTCTTCTATTTACTCCCAAAAACTAGCAATCAGAAAATCAGTATTTCAATTCAATTTTAACCACTACCTAAGCTTATGTGTCATATAATTAACTATTAATTTCCTGGTTCTTTAAATTTAAAAAAAGGTGGTAAAGAAAAAAAAAGATGGTCTATAGTTTCCCTTCAAGTGTGTGATATAAAATGACTATTACATATACGTTATTAATATTTTGCCTCAGATACATTAGTTTTAAATAGAGAAAAGGTAAAATAATCACTATAAAAGATGTTTCCCTTTTGCTATGACTCCTCAGCAGCAAATGAGGCATTTAGGGGATAATTTTTTTATCTTAGGTTAGTAGATTAAGTAATCTAAACAATTCATTTAAAAAAATCTCTACTTTCACCTGGAACCACCATCTCCCAGTAATTTGCAAAAATGACCAATACAAAGGGAAAGAGGAATGGCACCCATAATATGTTCTCTGGCCTTTTAGAAAACATGGAGTTGTTCCTTTGCCCACATACATGCAAATCTACAATAAAGGTGATATTGCAGACATCAAGGAACTGGCTCCTTGTTCAAAAAAGAATGCCCACAAATGTTATCATGGCAAAATTAGAAGACTTTACAATGTTACCCAGCATGCTATTGGCATTGCTGTAAACAAATAAGTTAAAGGCAAGATTCTTCTTGCTAAGAGAATAAATGTATCTACTAAGCATGTTAAGACTAAGAGCTGAGATAATTTCCTAAAACGGGAATGATAGCAGAAAGGAAGCTAGAGAAAAGTTCTTGGGTTCAACTGAAGTGCCAGCCTCCTCCACCCACAGAAACACTTTGTGAGAACAAAGTCAAAGAAGTTGAGCTGCTGGAACCCATTTCATATGAATTCATAGCATAAGGGGTGTTAAAAAAAAAAAAAACCTCTACATAATTGTGTTGTATAGACCACAATACTCTTTTATCTAATAGCTTACCTTCCACAAGCAATCTGAGTGACAATGCTTCCCATAAGTTCAAAAACTTTCCTTGGGTTTATTTCATGACTGGTAGAGTTATGACCCAACTGGCCATACCCTCCAGCTCCAAAAGTAAACACTCCACCTTCCTATAAAAAAGATAAAACCTTTTATTAGATGATCTTATAAAATAATCTTCAGGAAAGTAAGTTAATCTTTAATACAGACTTGATTTTTCTCTTCTATTGTCTCTACAATTAAAAGATAGATGACTTTTCAAGGTAAAATGTCTTAAAAACTAAGAAGACTTAATATTGCTAAAATGTCAATACTTCCCAGTATCTACAGATTCAATGCAATCCCTAGCAAATTATGGAAATGCAAATAAAAATGATGATTAATAACACTATTATCCAAGAGATTAGCAAAAAATTTTAAGTGTGACAATACCAAGTGGTAACAAGGTCACAGTGCATCAGTAATTCTCATACAATGAAAATATTAGCCTATACTTTCACATACTTTTAAAGTATTTAATTACATTCTCATCATTACAAGATATAAGGTGAAGTCATTAAAAAGATACTAATAATTATATTTTACATTGCTTTTCATCTTATTTATCTTCTTAAATCCTAAGTATACAATTACAAAATTTCATAGTAAAAATGGTATCAACTTCAGTTTTCAAACTAGTTATACTTTTAACATAAAAGCTCTGAAAAAACAGTATATGCAAACAGAGTGCAAAAATGTAGCATACACTTGCTACAATACAGACGGTCTTTAAAATTTTTATAAAAATACTTAACTGGATTTAGAAGTGAAAGACATTAAAAAATATATAAGAAAGTAATTCACAATAACAGCTTATCATAAGCACAACTATTTTTCAATTCCATTTTTTCTTCAGAGTTCTAGCTATATATATACAACTCTATACCCTGCTCCTTCATTTAATAGCATAAGTATATATATTGCTATGTAAAGAAACGGATTTTTCTCTTTGAAACTTTCTACAATGGAAAATTTCAAATATACAAGACTATATAAATAAATCATAAATATATGTAAATTATACATGTAAATATAAATGATCATATAACCATCATTCAGTTTCAACAACCAGTACAAGTTAGATAATCTTTTTCACTGATGTCCTCTCACTTCTCCTTTTCTGGGTACTATAAGGCAAAAAAAAAGTACTGGAGTACTTAAAAGCAAGTTGTGATCATCAAGTCATTTCACTGTAAATGTACATGTTATCTTCAATAGCATACACTAACAGATAAAAGTTGTAATGCAATTACCATCCTTTTATGAAATTAGTATTTCCTTTTTTGATGTAAATAGCACTAGTGTTAGTTTTTATTTCTTACGGTTTTTGACATTGGTATTTTCCAGTTTCACTTAGGTATAATTGACATAAAATATATATTTAAAGTTACTAACATGATTTGACATAGGTATACATTATGAAATACCACAGTGAAGTTACTTAACACATCTATTACTCACATACTTTTCTGGGGGACAGGGATGCAAATATTTCAGATCTCTCATAGCAAATATCAAGTACACATAACAGTTGTTAACTACAGTCACCATACAAGTCAGATCTTTAAAGCTTATTCATCTTTTAACAGAAAATGTGTACTTTTGACTTTCACCTCCCCATTTATCCCAGCGCCAGGCCCTGGCTGTCATCATTTTACTCTATGAATTCTACTTTTTTTTTAAGATTCCATATATAACTGATACTATACAGTACTTGTCTTTGTCTGGCTTCTTACACTTAGCATAATGCCCTCCAGTTTCATCTCTGTTCTTGCAAACAGAAGAATTTCCCTTTTTTGTGGCTCAATTATATTCTACTGCATGTGTGCATGTATACACACATATATTTACATTTATGTATCATAGTTTTTTATCTGTTCATCTGTTGATGGACACTTAATTTCTGTATCCTGGCTGTTATGAACAATGCTGCAATGAACATATAAATGCAGTTACCTCTTTGAGATCTTATTTTCATTTCCTTCACATGTATAGCTCGAAGTGGGATTGTGTCATTTTAGTTCTTTTGTAATTTTTTGAGGATTCTCCATACTGTTTTCCATTTATACCAATTTACATTTCCACCAGCAGTGTACAGTATTTCTCTTTTCTCCATATCCTCACCAATATTTGTCCTTTGTTGTTTTGATAACAGCCACTCTAACAGCTGTAAGGTGATGGTTTAAATTTGCATTTCCCTGATGAGTGATGTTGATATTGAGCACCTTTTCATGTACTTTTTGGCCATTTGCATATCTTTGGAAAAATCTCTATACAGGTCCTTCACCTATTTTTAAATTATTTCTTAAAAATATTCCTCCCATCTACAGGCTGCCTTTTCATTTTGTTGACTGTCTCCTTTGCTATGCATTTTTTTTAATTCACTGTAGTTTCAGTTATTTTTTTGTTGCCCCTGCTTTTCCAAAAATTGATTACAAGGACTAATATCAAGGAGGTTCCCCCCATGTTTTCCTCTAGGAGTTTTACAGTTTCAGATCTTACATTTAAGTCTTTAATCCATTTTGAGATACAGTCTGTATGTGGTGCATGATAGGGGTCCAGTGTCATTCTTTTGCAGGTGGATACCCAGTTTTACCAGCACCATTTATTGAAGGGACTGTTCTTTCCAACAGTGTGCTCTTGGCAACTTGTCGATTAACTGACTGCACATGTGTGGGTATATTATCTGATTGGTCTGTGTGTCTTTTTGTTTTATTGTTTTGTTACTGTAAGCTTCGTGATATAGTTTGAAACGAGGAAGTGTGATGCCTCAAGCTTTGTAGTTCTTTCTCAAATTGTTTTAGCTATTCTGGATCTTTTATGGTTCCATTTGAATTTCAGAGTGGTCTGTTCTATTTCTGCCAAAAATGCTATTGGAATATTTTGATAGGAATTGCACTCAATTTGTAGATCACTTGAATAATATCAATGTACAATATTCTTCCAATCTACAGTATCTTTCCATTTATTTCTGTCTTCAACTTATTTCACTGATCTCATACAATTTTCAGTCTATAGGTCTTTCACCTCCTTGGTTAAATCTATTCCCAAGTATTTCATTGTAAACAGGATTGGTGCTATTGTAAATAGGATTGCTTTTTTTTTCAGATTTGTTCTTACTGCATAGCAACATAATTGAATGTTGATTTTGTATCCTGCAACTTCCCTGAATTGGTGTTATTAGTACAAACTTTTTTTCTGGTGGAGTCTATGGTTTTCTATATAAATAATGTCATCAGCAAACAGACCATTTCACTTCTTCCTTTCACAGTGGATGGTTTTCATTTTTCTTAATTTATCTGGCTAGGACTTCCAGTACTATCCTGAATAGAAATGGTAAGAGTAGGCATCCTTGCCTCATTCTTGATCTTAAAGGAAAAGCTCTTAGCTTTTCACCACTGTGTATGATGTTAGCTATGTACCTGTCACATTGGCTTTTATTATGCTGGGGTTTTATACCTAATTTGTTGAGAATTGTTATCATTAAAGTATGTTGAAATTTGCCAAGTGCTTTTCCTGCATCTATTGAGATCATGATTTTTATCCTCTATTATGTTAAAGTGGTATCTAACATTCATTGATTTCTAGATGCTGAACCATCTTTGCATCTCAGAGATACATCCCACTTGATTATGGTATGTGATCATTTTAACATGCTTTTGAATTTGGTTTGCTAGTATTTTGTTGAGGAGTTCTAATCTGTGTTCATTAGGAATATTGGCCTGAAATTTTATTTTCTTGTATTGTCTTTGGTATCAGGATAATGCTGGCCTTGTATAATGTACTTGGAAGTTTTCCATATTTTTTGGAAGAGTTGGAGATGGAATGGTGTTTTTTATCAGTGAAGTCACTAGTCCTGGGATTTTCTTTGTTCGGAGATGTTTGTTTACTGATTCAATCTCCTTACTAGTTAAATATCTTCTGATTTTCTGTTTCTTCATGATTCAGTCTTGGTAGTTTATATGTTTCTAGGAATTCATACATTTCATCTAGGTTATCCAATCTGTTGGTATACAATTGTTCATGGAAGTCCCTTATGTTCCTTTGTACACGTGCAGTATCAACTGTAATGTCTTCTCTTTCATCTCTGATACTGAGTTTTTGTCCAGCTAAAAAAAAAAATTGTCATTTTTTAATCTTTTCATAAAAATTGTTTTTATTTTATTGATATTATCTAATTTGTTTTGTCTGTATTTCATTTATTTCTGCTTTAGTCATTATTTCTTCCTTCTCCTAACTTTGGGCTTTTTACTCAGTTCCCTTGAGGTTTAGAGTTGGGCTGTCTGAGAGCTTTTTCTTGATACAGATATTTATAAACTTCTTAGAGCTGCTTTTGCTGCATCCCACAAGTTTTAGTATGTTGTGCTTCCATATTCATTTGTCTCAAAATATTTTCTTTTGTTTCTTCTTTGATCCGTTAATGTTTAGAAGTGTACTTTTAAATTTCCACATATCTGTGAATTTTCCAGCTTTCCTCTTGTTACTGATTCCTAGTGTCAAACCACTGTGACTGGAAAAGATATTTGAACTATTTCAGTCTTCTTAAATTTGTTAAGACTTGTTTTGTGACTTACATACAACCCTTCCTGTGCGATGTCCCACTGTGTGAGTGTGTACTCTGCTGCTGTTACATGGAATGCCTGTATGTTAGCCTGTAGTGCAGTGTTAAGTCTAATATAGTTCCTTACTAATTTTCTGCCTGGATGGTCTATCTGTTGTTGAAAGCAGGGTACTAAAGTACCCTCCCATAGGCATACCTCATTTTATTGAGCTTTGCAGATACAATTAAAGGTTGTGGCAACCCTGTGTTCATCAAGTCTGCCAGCACCCTATTCCAACAGCATTTGCTTACTTCATGCCTCTGTATCACATTTTGGTAATTCTCTCAATATTTCAAGCATTTTCATTATTATTATATTTGTTATGGTTATCTGTGGTCACTGATTATAACTCACTGAAAGCTCAGATGATGGTTAGCATTTTTCAGCAACAAAGCATTTAACTAAGGTAGTTTTTTATACATAATGCTATTGTATACTTATTCAACTGCAGGATAGTGTAAACATATCTTTTATATGAATTAGGAAACCAAAAAATTCATATGACTTGCTTTAATGCAATATTCACTTTATTACAGTGGTTAGGAACCAAACCCACATTATCTCTGAGGTATGCCTGTATTTTTATGCTGTATTTTTGCCTTCAGACCAATTAATATTTGCTTTATTTAGGTGCTCCTATGTTGGGTGCACAGTTACAGTTGTTATCCTCTTGAACTAAACCCTTTAATATTAATTTCTTAATATCATCTAATACTGAGGCCATATTTAAATTCTCCTGATTATTATATCATGTCAGAAAGCATATGTCTGGTTGGTAATATTAAGTAAGTGACTCAACATGTTTCAGCCTAATCCCATTAAACTTAATGTTGTTGATCTTTGCCTTGATCTGTTATTTCCTTGGGGAGTATAAAATGGGAGATTTTCTAATCTTATTTCATCTAAATTTATTAGCTGGAATTTTCTACAGAAAACTCAATGCATCAGATGTTGTTACTCTGAAATACAGTTTGCAAATAAAAGGCAATAGAAATGCTTCTTTCTCATTTACTAACTCTTTGCCAAAAAGTTGTCCTAGCAACCTCCAAAGATAAGCACTGGAATTCACTTTGTATTGATTTGGGTACCATTATGAAGTCATAGATTACTATATATGATGTATTTCCAATTATTTCAGTAATTGTTTCTTTTTGCTAACAAGTGAAAGTGCCTTCAAGTTGTCCTTCTGACATGACCTTAGCAGTCTTTGTTTTTTTCTAACACAAAATGCCCTAGGCTATCCATATATATATTTTTGTCCCAGATGAGGTCAAACTCTTCTCTAAGAAGGCCTGGTTATAGAGTCTACAACAATCAAGGGATATTCACTGTTTCTGTATTGTACATGGTTAATACTTCTAGAACCTCAGTGGTCATGGCAAAAAATAGAAGTATTTTGAGAAGGAGAAAAATAGGAATTCATACTGATCCTTGTGATTCAAAGTAAAGATGATGTTTTAATTTAATTCCTACTGTTTTATAACTCTTTTCTCTTAAGGTGAAAATCAGTTTCTAATGACAGCAAAATAAGTACTTCTTTGATTTATCTCACTCTGCATGCTCTACACTTAAAATACTACTATCAATTTTACTAATAAGAAGTCTACAGAATGAATTTTAAGATTTCTTTGTGAGTACAACTTATTCTTAGGCTATTTCCCACAAGTAATAAATAACAAAAAGTGTATTTTAAAATGACTTCAAAGAAATTTTTCTGTAATTGTGCTATTAGTTATGTTTTTCAGTTTTTAAGAACTGCTTAAAAATTCATATATAAATTTGCTTTTTAATTATGTATAAACATTTCTAGGTTCCAAAATCAAAATTGTAAGGCAAGGTATATTTGATCTAGCTATTGATTTTTTATAAGTATAAACAACATGAAATTTGTTCATATCTTACCCCTTCTTACACAACAGGCAACTATTTTTATACATTCCATTTTTTTTCCTTAACATCATATTCTGAAGATTATTTCACAGCATAATACAGAGATCTTCCTCATTCTGTTTTACAGGTAATGTGCATGGAGTTACCACAGTTTATTCAACTGAATTACTACTGATGAAATTTTTATTTCTTCCATTCTTTAGCTATTAAAATAAATGCCTTAGTGCACATATAATTTCATATCTTTGAGATAGATTCATACAAGTGGGATTACTAAGTTAAAAGGCAAATGTATATGTGATTTATAATAAATTTGTAAATGAACTTGAAAAAATTTGGCATCCTCACTGTGTTGTCTTCACATCCATTAACTTAAATGTCTTTCCATTTATTCTGTCTTTAAAAGTCTGTTTAAATATTTTCCTAATGTTATTTTCCAAATGTAGTTTTGTACAAGGAAACTACTTCATAAAACAATCTGAATTAATTTAAGAAATTCTTCCAGAAAAGCAGCAGATACATGGATATGGAACTATAACTTAAATCAGGAGAAAATAAAATATTTTACTTTTGGAATATTTAAAATATCTGAATTTGTTAAAAATTACATAAAAAATTAATATACATAATATACATGAACAAATATCATCAGCTACGGTACTGAGATAGGAATATGTAAGATTAGCATTAAAAAAACCTCAAATCATACAAATAGTTACACATCCTGGGAAAGTAAGATGAGTGGTCATTTGAAAGGCTGAACTTGAAAAGCATTAATATTCAAATTAATGAGTGAGTCTTTCTACCACAAAGTAAACCTTAAGGAATGACACTATACAAAATGTTTTACTATTATCTCAACACAGCCTTATTTCTAAATATCCCTGACTAAAGAGAATGACTAAAACATTCATAACTTGCCAACGTGATTTAATAGACTTTAATGATTAAATTTATAATTTGAATGATAAAAATCAGTAAAATATGGCAATAAAATCAGCAGATATATTAAAATTTCTTTACTAAAAGACAAATAATATACATTTTTTAATTAACTTTTATAATTGGTCACTATATTTTTAAAAGGACCTTGAGTACACTATTTGACAGATTGAGAATGACTGTTATATTCCTAAAATTCCCAGTCTGGGAATAAGTATGCAGAATTTTATAAAGTCTGATTACAAGTTAATTTTTTCTTGCCAATTTTATCTACTATGCAGGATGAAGAAAAATAAGCAAAAACATCAACTTTTAATTTAGCCAATGAAAACTTGTTTCTTTATGTTAACATGACTATAATAAATAATACCCCTGGCAAAAGAGAACGTTTTAACTTTCATTTTACTTCTAAATCACTAGAGAACTATGTAGTACTGATACTAAACTGACATACACACAAGAAATTGGAAAGTCAAAGTTAAAGACATTAACAAGATTGTGATGAAAGCTCATTATAAATGTTTGTATAATACTTGACCTATGGATAACTGAGGGATTCATTCTCTTCTATTACTTGTTATACTACATTTATAGGTCAAATGGGAGCTAAATTAAAACTAGGCAGAGTTTTGAGATATAAATAGGATTGATACACACAGCATGGCAAGACTGACAACCCAAAAGGCAATTTTTTCATTTAAAATATTATTTAAGCAGTATTTCACATGAAGCAAGAAACTAAACAATATATGTTATCATCACATATAACATCACAATTCACATTTCATAACAAAACTAAACTGAAAATTAAATGGTTTTTTGAAAATAATCTAAGTCGTCTTTTTTCCAAGATGAATTATTTTTTAGACATCAATAACACTGAGGTTTTAACATAAATATCACGAGAACATTCACTAATTATGAAATAACTACCATGAGTAATAATAAAGATATTTTATAGGAATACAATACCTTGGTTAGTGCAGCAGTGTGATCTTCTCCACAACAAATATAAACTATTTTCTGAGTTCTTAATGACTTTAGTAAATTAGGAACATACCTATCTGAAAAGTCCAACAAGAGACGTTAACAGTATTTTTTAAATTAAAACTTCTAAAATGTGTTTCCTCTACAGCCTCCCAAGCTCAGTGAACAGTGATAACTAAATAATTTTAACCACGATTCAATTATTTTGTAGTACAAGCCTACTAAATTGGGTTCCCTGGCCTGTCCACTCATCTATCCATGCTACTGTGATAAAGGAGGGATTTAAAAAGAGTCAAGTTGTAAACTGCCTAAATGCCAATCGGAAATTCCTTGATTGCTGAGTTCTGTGCAGAGTTACTCAACTACTTCTAATATTCAGTTTGTATATTCACTTCAGGATAATTATGCTCACAGGATCTTGCTTAAAAGTCTTAAAATTATACTAAGATATATAATGTCCTAATCTAATGTATTTTTCTTATGTAAAACAAATATTTTTTAATTCTTTCTGGGAGTATTATTTGCTTATCATTAACAGCTCACTTCTGTCCACTGAAATAATTGTAATTGTGTTGAACTTTATGAAAGCAGTTTTTTTATTTCAAATACTGGAATTCAACCTAATATAGTTAGGAAAAATTAGTTCCAACATCCCAACTTGTTTCAAATAGTCTTAATTTTTTAAAATCCAAACTGTTTATTTTAAAGATGCTAGCATCAGTGTTAGAAGTGAAGCCCAAACTAAAGATTAATGACTCAGATTATTTACATATTTTCTTGAAAAACTCAAATAGACCAACCCTTCACATTACTTCCCAGGACAACCTTTCCATCAATGGTGGCCCATAATGTGGTTACCAATTTGAAGTAATGTTATTCAACTTTCTTCTAATGAACACCCAACAACAAACATTTTTGTCCAGATATACTTTCTATAGTTTATTTTATGATAAGATGATATTTTTGGCCTTCCCACCATCCTTTAAAATTATCAAATGGAATTTTTAAATAAATCTCTCATCCCTACTTCCATATCATTAAAGACTTGAGTATATTTCCCTCTATTAAGAATCACTGACCATCTCCTTTTAAAAGTATACTCATCTATGAATAATGCGAACCTACCATTTTCATCATTAAGACCTAGTTGACCAAATTTGTTGCGTCCCCATCCAAAGATAGCTCCAGAAAGGGTGAGGACAAAACTATGGGCTCCTCCAGCTGCAACTTGCATGAAAGGGATTCCAAGCAAAGACTTAATCAGCTGTGGTGAAGCTTGCTTTTTACAGTCAATGCCTAAACCCAATTGGCCATATTTATTCTGTCCCCAACAGAAGACTTCACTTGCTGTAAAACAAAAATCATGAAATTAACTGTTTTTCTCATACACAGAAAATTTCATCTGAAGATCAGTTATTTTGGGACATTCTTCCTCTCATCAGATGGAAATACACATTCCTCTTTATTAAATTTATTACTTATATGAAAACATAACACTACCTAGAATAATCTGTTATTAGTACATTTTAAGTCTGACTGATTTTAATGAATGGGTAAGTCACATAACTGTGAGTAATCTCATTCCCTTATGCTCCTTAAGAAAGGACTGTCTTTTTTTTAATATTCTTCTATGATTTCTTCCAAGAGGCACTCATGCAAGCTTAAGACTTTAGTTATCAATGAAATGCTAATCACACTCAAGATTTTATCACTAGCCCACACCTTTTTTCTGAGCAATAAACCCATATATCCAATTGTTTAGATGACAGCTACACTTGGATGACTCCCACCCAACCTCCCATAACTGGACCTCTTCCCAGTGTTCCCCACCTCAGTAAATAACATCATGACTGACTCAGTAGCACAAATCATAAACACAGGGAGTCATCCTTAATACTCGTCTCCTCGCTTACTTTATACACAGACTGGTATCAATCTTTCATCTATCATCACACTACTTAAGACATCTTCTAATTTATTTTTGTAAAATAAATAGCACTAAATACCCAACACACTAATAACTGAATTTTTTAAATTAATGCTATAAAAAAATTACACACTTAAATAAAGTTCCCTTCAAAATTAATTTCCAGTTCCTCTCCTAAGCAACAACCACTCTTACCAGTTACAGATTATGTACTTTCAAAAACATTCTATGCATGTAGACATTTGTATACATATACAGAAATACTATAAAAATGCAGATTTGATAATGATGCTCACCTGAAAAAAATGTCAGCACCATCTCACTGCTCTTGGGATAAACGCTTTCAACAAGGCCTACAAGGCTTTGTATGTTTCACTTATGTTTCCAAGATCACTTCCTGTCAGTCTCTTCCCTCACTATATTGTAGCCATACTCACCCTCCTTTATATTCTCCAATGCCCATTTCTCACATACTTGCTATTCCCCTGCCTAAACCCTCCCCTCATCTTTGTTCACTTCTACTCTCTCCCAACAGGAAGCCTTCCCTGACCTCCCACAGTAAGTTCAGCCCCCCTATTATATGTTCTAAATATCCTAAGCTTTTTTCTTTACAGTCCTTTTCATCTATATTCTGTACAGCTGTAGCCTCATCCTTTATTCACAGTGTGTCTCATTAGACATTTAATTAATTTGAAATATAATAATAGTAATAATAAAGCCACTGGAACTTATTTTTTAAATTGGTAAAAAACAAACTAATCCATGTTATAATCCTTGGCTGGCATATGAAGTTAAATGAATAAGAAAGGAAGGCAACAAGCTAATAGGATGCTTAGCTTTCTTCTGTTTTTATTCATAAGATGATTACATGTGAGATCAAATGAGACTGGGCAAGTTATAACATTCCCCAGCTATGTAGGAATAGTGTTTAGCACACTGAAAAACAGACACAAAAGTCAGTTTCATTTCTATATACTAGCAATAAACAACTTGAAAATGACAACATTCACAGTAACAAAAAAACCATCTAGGGAAAAAATATAACAAAAGGTAAATAAGACCTCTCTAGAGAAAACAACAAAATACTATTGAGAAAAACTAAAAGATTAAAATAAATGGAGGGATAGAGCATATTCAAGAACTGAATGACTCAATATTTAATAAAGTTTCCGTAAACTGATTTACAAAATGCAATCTTAATCAAAATCCCAGCAGTTTCTCTGCATGTCAGTGAAAACTAACAAGCTAATTTTAAAATGTATATGGAAATGAAAAGGATCAAGAAGAACCAGGACAATCTTGAATAAGAACAAAATTGGAGAACTTTGGGCTCATTTAAAGCATCAAGTAATAGAACTGAAAAAAGGAAAACAAAATAAAAACAATGCTTACCTTTAGAAAGTGCAAGTGAATGATAGTAACCACACGCAACCTGTACTATTTGGATATCTGACAAACTTTTAATATTTCTATAAAATAAGAAAAGAGATGGATCAGTTAATTCTATTTAATAAATGGATCCTGAATGCTATTTACCACCTACTATGTGCAAGTAGTTTTCTACCAACCCAGCAGTTCATGCTTTTTTTTCAAAAGCACCCATTTTGCCAAAAATGTATGCTAAAATCAGTAAACAAAACCTTGATTTGAAAAAAATGAAGAGGTGTGATGAGAAAATACGTTGAAGACAACATTTAAGCAAAATAAACTATGCTCACACTTAAGTACTTCTTAGAGTGCTTTTATAATTCAGATGTTTTATTATCAAAAAATTATTTTAAATCTTTAAAGTATGAAACTTGGTAACATTTGTATTGTATCCTAATTTGTATAATATTGCTGTTTGGCCTAGTTTAATATATGTTCTCCTCTACCAGATTCCTTAAGAACCAGCAGGGATTCCTAATGTGCTAAAACTTAGTCATAAACTATGAAACCTATTCCTTTTAGACTATCCTTTTGCTTTACATTAAAACCAGTAATATTCAATTTAATTTTTTAATGGGGAAATTTGATCAATTCATTTATTATAGTCACTGATGTGTTCAGTTGCATTTCTGCCATCTTGTGTTCTTTTCCTTATATATATATATAGTTTCTTATCCCACACTCACACCCATTTTTTAATTTTCCTCAACTGCAATGATAATTCTAAAGACTAATTATTGTAACATTACAAAAAAATCAAGTAACTTTGTGCATCAACCATCCCAGGTTTTTCTTAAGTAGTTCCCCTTTTCCTAGTCAGTCTACTGTTTCTCCTGATTGTTTTCAAGGGAACAAACGGGAGGAGGAAACATCATGTTTCTTATTTCCCTTTACCTGACATTGCCACCTGACCTGATTCTGCCATATGAGAGTCTGGAGCAAGTTCTGACCAGAGTGTCGATACCCATGATTTTTGGAAGGCAGCTTCAGCATATCAAATTTTGAGCAGGAAAAAGGAGAGTTACTCTAATTCCATATTGTATTAACAATATTTTTATTTAGTGGATTTATGTTCTTAACTACAAAACCTGAGAGCTATACTGTTATAATTTAACAGAATCCAACAAGTTATCAGGATCCAATCAATGCACCTGCAGATTTTCAAATGTAGCAAAATGGCATTTTTCTGCAATTAGCAAAATCAAACACTGGCAATGTAAAACTAGGAATAAAAATTACATGGATATGTACAACTGTGCTGAAGTTACTAAACATTTACTGTTACTGCTTATGCATACTAGGCATATCATACATTTGACTAGTGCCCTATATTAAATATTTTTAAAAACCACTGTTCCAGGTATCAAAATCCAATTTGCAAGACTAAGACCACATGATGTAAGAATACTACATTCTCAAAGCACCCTACAGTTTTTGCTCTCACAGCATGTATCACTATTAATTACTGATGCACTTATTAATGTAATTATTCTTAGTATATTCTGCTGAACAATAAGGTAGACTATGGGTCTCACACCCATGGAATTCCTAGTACCTACCATAGTGTCTGGCAAAAAGTACATAATAAATACACTGTTAAAGGATAAGTGAATCTGTAATGTCTTTGAGGTTTTAGTATTAAACTATGATAAAGTCTGCCCCTAAATTTGCATAGCAATTAAAACTCAGTGACTCTCATTTCTGAAATAATAAGGCTTGGAATATAACATAAATGCTAATTTCTTTAGCCATGTCTACTACAAAGATAAGGAAAGATATTCTTCTGTGGCATTACTGTTTTAAAGAATAAAAACAAAACTCCTTTCATCAAGATTAATTGGTGGGGGAGATTTCTTTAGCTTTCAGGAATAAAATAAAGAAAAACACTGTGAATGGTAAAACTCAATTTACCAATAGTTTCCTGTGTTCCACTTTTCTAAAGAGGTAACAAATTAGAAAATTCTTAATGAAACAGAATTTCACAGGATTCAGTAAAAGAAATCCCTTTTTAAGTAAAAAAGATAATGAATATGTTTATTGGTTTTCAGGTTTTTTAAAGGACTCAAATACAGTTAACAGGGAAGCAAAATAAGTCATAATTTACATATACAAATATATATATAAAATATATATATAAATATACAGAAACACACATACATAACACACTTCAAGATTCCTAATTAAACAGAACTGTGAAAGGAAACACAGAATCCAGATGTCTAGGGTAAACATTTTCTAACTTCTTATAAATTTAAAATAACTCTCTAAAGTTTAGACTATACCAAACATTTTAAATGGCTATGACATCACTAAAATGATTCATCATAAAGAACACAATCATTTCTTTACTGAATTTTGGAAGATGTTTGAAATTTTTAAGAAAACAGTTAATAAACTTGGAAATAAGGCTTATATTCCCCTCCCTTAGGAAATGTGCCAAAACCTATTAATTGATGAGTATGCATACTGTTGTATTGTCATGTTTTTCCAATTTAATGTACAGTGGCAATATAGGCAGAAACCAGACATTTCCAGTTATTTGTGAAGGTAAAATTCCAACAACTGTTAACAAAAATGAGTGAAAAGTTCATAGTATATAATTAAAAATTTTGAAGAACTGCTTAAAGCATGGAATTTTTTGACAATTCCAAACTCATGAAGGTGTTCATATTAAGTAGCTTTTTATATGTCAACCATACCTCAATAAAGTGGTTTTAAAAATATATTTTGCCAATAAAACAATCAACAACTTTCTATTTCCCAGTTCAGTCACCATTTTCTTAGTGATTTAAGAAAAGTCTTAGCACACCAGCTCCTTTCAGTTTTGAAAAGTTTAAGCTAAACCAATCTAGTCTCGGTCTCTACCATTAATACTTTTTAATTTTAATCTAAAATGCTCTGAACTTTCCAATTCTAATATTAGGCAGAAATTGTAATACATGTTTAAAACTGAGTGAAATCAAGAAAATAAATTTTTGAGCAAAATGACAAGTCAAGCATGTTTAATCAGTTTCTATAGTCCAGAAATAGCTGTACTCAAAAGGATCATACCATTTTGTCATAATTTTTTACCACATACATCCAAGAAACAGAACTTTAAAAAATAATTTTATTGCCAAGGATTGTTTTTCTAAGGTTTGAATGGAAAAGTATGTATTTGCACTTACATTAAACTAAAAGAAAGTAAAACTAGGCTTAACTTATTTTTAAAGCAAAGGTATAACATATATCCTACATAAAAAGAGGTAACTAGCTGGAAATGCAGATCCTACATAGACCACTGACTGAATAATTTAAGTTTTTTCCCCAAGAAGGAGTGATTTCAAAACAAAACAAAATTTTAAGTAGGAAAAGGTTATCAAACTAGTAAGAGTTCCTAATACAATCTATTGTTATTTTTACATTCTTCTTTAATTTTAAAGTGTTGCTTAATTTATATACCCTTATTTACTGGCATAAAAATGGATATTTCTTTTCAAAAATGTACAGCCTTAATGTGAATCTTCCCTTTCTGATCACTTTTCTGATCACTCTTTTGAAAAGTATAAATGCTAATTTTTAAAAACCTATTTACATATATGTGAGCTTCTTCCTATCTTCTATTCATTTAATTTAAAATATATGTGAAATTTACAAAGAATATTGGCACTGCTAAGCGTTGAGAAAACACCTTGCATCTAAAAAGTGATTTGGTACTGAAACTTAGAAAAAAAAAATCACTGGCTGTCTTTCAAAAAATATATTTCTACTATGTTATATATTGGTTTCATATGGTTTCAGATCTACTTGTTTATGATAAAAATGAAACTGTTTTAGGGGTAAAGTTGTTTTTGATGTAAGAATGAAATAAATTGTGTCAGGATATCATCTCACCTGTTCTCACTAGTAAGAACTTAGTAGCTCAGCTGCTGAGGAGCCCTACTTGGGGCTTATCAATAAAAACATACGAAGAAACAGCTACGGCAAGGGGACATTTCAACTATAAATACCAAGAGTTTGTGAGGACTATGAGACACTGTTCAGTCTGGGCAAGGTAACTCTGCTGATCTAAATAGTCTCTGAATAGCTTGGGGCAATTAGTTCCTGACAAGATAAAGGAGACTGTTTTACTGTCAGTGGTAAAAACTGTACCCCAGACCTAGGAGATCCTCTTTTGTCCTCAAACACTGGCACTGGGTCTTTCCCTAGCAATGTGCTCTAGCAACAAGGGACTTATATTTTTGAGCTGCAGCTAGATGTCAGCTCTTGGCTAAGCCCACTTCTCCCAAGTACCAACTCACTCATGTACCAACTCATATAAAGGTACAACTCAACTAAACTTGGACTTTCTTTCTTTCATCTCCCCTTGCTTGGAACAACAGTATACTTTATCACTGTTTTGGAGTATGTTATTTCTCTATTGGCTCATTAAGAGACACTGTCTTGTATGCCACTGGCATATGAAATTCCTGCAGTGAACCTGTGTTAAATAAACTGCTGACAAAGACAAACTGATTCTCAGCATAATTCACCCCAAAACAAAACATACTGAAATATTAAACTGATCTTTAAGACATGAAAATATCAGCTAAAAACAATATATGTCACAACAAATCAGATCAGTCCATTAAAAACCAAGAGGGTTGAATAGAAGAAATGCCTTAGTACACAGCAAAAAGTTAATACAGATGTTTAACAAATAAAAAAAGACAAAGGAACTCAAATTTTAAGATCTCTTTCACAGCCATATCCAAGTTCATAAAAGAGTAGAGGCCCAAATATGTAAGTTATCAATGTTAAATTAACAACAAAATATGTAAATTTGTATGAAATAAAATGCTACCTAGTACACCTAAAGTAAATTTAATACATTGGTTTCCTGGAGAGTTGTCTTTTGTTCCTATAACTATTACTAGGAAGAACAAGAGTTAAAAGAGGCACAAATTTGTGTAAGTTTTAAAAGTAAGCAAGAGTTCATACATTATTTATGTACTAAAAGAAATAGGATACTTTAAATCTTTGTATTTTTACCTCAATAACATTCATGCTCTTATTTTTTAATATTAAAACAATGGCCTTATGTAAATTTGTAAGACTATAACACTGATGTCATTATTTACTTTTTAATTTTGAATAGTTCTATGATGTAATGTTATAATCTCTTCTTGGTTAACATAAACTGTGGTCACTACTATGTAAAAAAAAGAAAGTAACTGAATTCTTTTTATAGTAATCATGTGACACTTTTATATTCAATAAAATAAAAACTAATAAATAAAGATAAACATGCAACCAACAAATATTTTAAAAATATTTCAATAGCTAAGGTACTCAAGATAGAATTAGTAGTTTAAATTGGTCTAAAACACTTGGTTAGAAATTTATTTAAGAGAAAATTTATAATAAAGTATGTATTCCCCATCCCTTTTTTTCGAAACATAAATAATTTGAACGGAAATATGAAGGGTATAAAAAAATAGCATTCAACCCAAATTAAAAGGCAAGAACCTACCTAGTAAACTCTTAAAGAAAACTCAAAGGGAAGAAATAATTAGGTATCAACTTTTACATGCTCACATTAAGCAGAGTAATTTAGATAACAAATTTATTATGAAAAGACAGTTAAAGACCTCTTTTTGGTCACCTTTGTTACCTGGGTACTCTGATACATTCCTCTGGTCCTAGCAGGCCAAGTTGTCCATCAGAATCGAGACCCCAAGCATACACCTGGCCCTTGTCATTTAGTGCTAACGTATGAGCTTCTCCACATGAAACAGCTACGATATTTTGGGCATCCAGGGCAACAACCTGCTCTACAGAAATCAAGAAGAGAGACATTACATTTCAGTTTTGAACTCCCAATAACAATAAGACAGTCTTCATCTCATACAAACAAGCTAAGGAAATGCTAAAATAGTGACTAAGTATGACATCAACTGTGAAAAATCTAACAAATATATCCCATACAAAATTTTCATTGTGATAAATACAGATATATATCATAAGGTATAATCAGCTCAGAAGTGACTTGAACATTTTTGGGAAGAAGTTAAGGAGTTATAAAAAATTATATCAGAAAGTGTTCTTCATTCAAAGCCATTATCAATAAATGAGAGGAGTTCAGTTGAAAAGGGAATCATTTAAATAACCTGGGTTATTTTTTAATAGAAAAATCATAACTGACACATACATTACCATACAGATACTATTATGGAATAATCCCAAAGTTAATTTTTTAAAAAGGCTGAATTGGCAATTTCTGATAGGATACAAATTCTTTACAGATTTTGTAAATAAAGCTTCTACCAGATATGATATGGTAAGAACTTAAAAGGAAAGGGGACCGTAATGAATAGGTTTCAGTTTACGGACTGCCATTTTAACATCAAAGATATAAAAATTCCCTATGTGGTTAAAATGTGCTTAACTTTTAAACCAGAAATTAACTTGAAATATTGCCCCTTCATTCCACTGTCAGCAGCCACTGACAAATGAGGAGAGAAAGTGACTGTTTCCTTAGTCTCCTTAATGTTCAATGTCTATCAGTTTTTTTACTAGTATCATTTCTATAAGCTTTTTTTGAAGGCACAATTTAAAATTAACTTTTCGTTAATAAGAAAGCTATAATTTATATCATCAATAAACTGAAAGCCTCATGTTGAAGAGTTATTAAAACTGTATCAGTTGGTTTCTTCAGAAGCACATTTTAGCTCAATGTACAAATGCAGCTGTTCAATAAATGAAACATGTATCAAGAAGGTTTAAATCCCTAAATACAGAGAAATCCAAATTGTGCTGGACCATATCCTGTATTTTGGGGTGGGAGGTTAGCCCCAGAGAGCCTCTAGAAATCTGTACAACTCTAATCATATGTTATTTTAAGTACTTACCTTAAAGTACCATAAATTAGTAACTTGTGAAGCTGGTGAACAGTACATGGAAGGTCATTCTACTAATCTCTCATTTTCTGCATGTATTATATATATATGTTTTTATACAATTACATTGTAGAAACATACAAAAACAAAAAAAGTAGAAGATGTAACACACTGTTCCCCCCAAAAAATAAGTAAAAGCACTTAGACGTCATCATTTATTTACATTAAAACACTTCCATAAATCTTAATTATGAAGAAGTAAAATACATACAAGACTCATTATCTCTCAGAGGCCTCAGAAATAAACTAAAGTCTCTCCAAGACAATCCTCAAAGGAAATACCATAAAGAGCAGAACATGACAGAATGAACAGAGAGTGAGTAAGACTGGTTGGTTCAACAATAACAAATAAAGGAGTACTTAAACAATAGCAATGGCCTGAAATTAAAGGTACAAAAAAATCTAAGAAACAAAATAGAAACAATCATTCATAGCAAACACTAATATTTACTGCTTACCTCTTGTGCTCAAGCACTAGAGACACAAAGATACATAAAACATAGTTCAAGCTCTCAAGGAACTATAGTCTATAGAAAGACAAGTGAGATAACAATTGTGATCAAATGCTAAGATAAAAATATACAAAAGGCACCTTAGAAACATGAAATACTTATTAAAGTATACATAAAAGATACTACGAAGAATGTTGAGCAACACTGCAGCTAAATCCTGAGCTGAGGAAAGAGAAAGAGATTCCATATACTCATTTAAGAAAATTAAAATTACTTATTATAGCAAACAAACTAAAAGCAAGGTGAAAAGACTGATAAGAAAAACAGGGGTGAAAGGTTACATCTCAAATTTTTGAAGACTTACTAGGAAAAAAAAGACCAGTAATTAAGTGAAAAATGGGCAAAATTGAGAACTGATAATTCTCAGAAAAAGCAGATATGGCCCTTAATCATATGAAAAGATGCTCAAATTCATTGATGAGAAAAACGTAAATTCAAACTATACAGAAGAGCCAGTAGTATGTTCAATGAGAAAATTCATAAAGCCATACACACTTGTAATTTGTGTACTTCTCTATATGGGTTAACCTTCAAGTAAAAAAGGTCACATTATCAAAAGAATGACAAAAACAGTCACAGAATGGGAGAAAATACTTGCAAAAGAAATACCAAATAGAGGACTGTTACCTAAAAATACACAAAAACTTAAAACTCAAGAAGAAAATGAAAACCCAATTGAAAAAAAAAACAGGCAAAAACATCTGGCACCAAGGAAGATATACGACGGCAAGCTATGCATATGAAAGGATGCTCTACATGATATGTCATCAGGGAATGTATGCAAAATGGTACAGTCACTTCAAAAGACAGTTTGGCAGTTTCTTACAAAACTAAACAAACTCTTATCATATGATCTAGCAACTGTGCTCTTTGGTATTACCTTAAGGAGTCAAAAGTTATGTCCACACAAAAACTTGCCCATGGATATAAACCCACGCATATATGGTAAATTAATATATGATAAAGGAGCCATGAACATACAATGGGGAAAAGACAGTCTCTTCAATAACTGATGTTGGGAAAACTGGACAGCTAGATGCAAGAGAATGAAACTGGGTTACTATCCAACTCCAAACATAAAAGTAAACTCAAAACGGATTGAACACCTGGATTTAAGACATGAAACCATAGAACTCTTAGAAGAAAACATAAGCAAAACTCTCTTGAACGTAACTATAAGCAATTTTTTCCTGGACACAGCTCCTTGGGCAAGGAAAACAAAATAAAAAATGAACAAGTGGGACTACATCCAACTAAAAAGCTTCTGTATAGCAAAAGACACCATCAGCAGAACAAAAAGGCATCCAACAGTATGTAAGAATATATTCATAAATGATTTATACATTAAGGGGTTAACATCCAAAATATATAAAGAACTCATACACTCAAAAAGCAAAAAACCTGATCAAAAAATAGGTGGAGGCCCTGAACAGACATTTCTCCAAAGAAGAAATACAGATAGCCAACAGGCACATGAAAAGATGCTCCACATCTCTAATCATCAGGGAAATGCAAATCAAAACCACAATCAGATATCACCTCACTCCAGTTAGAATGCCACTATCCAAAAGACAAGAAATAATGAGTCTCAGTGAGGATTCAGAGAAATAGGAACTCTCCTACACTGCTGGTGGGAACGTAAATTGGTACAAAGCAGTATGAAGGTTCCTTAAAAAACTAAAAAGAGAAACACCATTCAACTCAATTAATTCCCCTTCTAGGAATTTAACCAAAGAAAACAAAATCTCAGATTCAGAAAGATACATGCACCCCTATATTTATCACTGCATTATTTACAATAGCCAAGATACGGAAACAATGTAAGAGTCCATCAATAGATGAATGGATAAAGATGATGTGTTACATATACACAATGGAGTATTATTCAGCCATAAAAAAAGAAAAAGAAATCCTGCCATTTGCAACAACATGGACAGATCTAGAGCGTATCATGCTCAGTGAAATAAGCGAGATGAAGAAAGACAAATAACCTATCATTTCACTTATCTGTGGAATACAAAACAAAGCAAAATAGAATGAATAAAAACAACAGTAGACTCAGACACATTGATAAGTGACTAGTGGTTACCATGGGGGACGGGTTGAGGTGGGTGGACAGGGAGGGTGAGGGGGATAAAAAGGCACAAAGATTCTCAATCATAAAATATATATATTATAACATAAAAGTATACTGTTGCCATAGGGATAGTAGTAGAGCATGGAGAATACAGTCAACAATTCTGTAAAATCTTTCTCTGTTGTCAGACAGTAACCACATTAGTAGGGATAAGGATTAATAATATGGATAACTGTTGAAACACTGTGTTAAATATTTGAAATCAATTTAAGATTGTATATTAACAATACTTCAATTTAAAAAAAAAAATTGCACATGGGTATTTAGGCACCTTTACTGACAACTGCCAAAACGTGAAAGCAACCAAAATGAATAAACTATGGTGGCATCCAGATGACAGAATACTACTCAACACTAAAAAGAAATGAATTATCAACCCTTGAAGCTGATTCCACTATATGACATTCTGGAAAAGGCAAAACTTTGGAAATAGTAAAAAGATTAGTGGTTACTAGGATCAGGGGAAAGAGAGAGATGAACAGGCAGAGGACAGAGGACTTTACGAGCATAATACTATTTTTTTTTGGTATCATTAATGTACAATTACATGAGCAACATTACGGATACTAGACTCCCCCTATTATCAACTCCCCACCACATACCCCACTACAATCACTGTCTATCAGTATGGCTAAGATGCTATAGAATCACTGTTGTCTCCTCTGTATTATACTGCCTTCCCCGTGTCCCCCACCACCACATTGTGTGTGCTCATCGTAATGCCCCTTTTCCCCCTTATACCTCCCTTCACACCCATCCTCCCCAGTCCCTTTCCCATTGGTAACTCTTAGTCCATTCTTGGGTTCTGTGAACCTAATGCTGTTTTGTTCCTTCAGTTTTTTCTTTGTTCTTATACTCCACAGATGAGTGAAATCATTTGATACTTTTCTTTCTCTGCCTGGCTTATTTCGCTGAGCATAATATCCTCTAGTTCAATCCATGTTGTTGCAAATGGTAGGATTTGTTTTCTTATGGCTGAATAATATTCCATTGTGTATATGTACCACCTCTTACTTATCCATTCATCTACGATGGACACTTAGGTTGCTTCCATTTCTTAGCTATTGTAAATGGTGCTGCGATAAATGTAGGGGGGCATGTCTTTTTCAAACTGGGCTGCTGCATTCTTAGGGTAAATTCCTAAGACTGGAATTCCTAGGTCAAATGGTATTTCTATTTTTAGTTTTTTAAGGAACCTCCATACTGCTTTCCACAGTGGTTGAACT